ACAAGTCAAAAACGGTATGAACTGATGACATCTGATAAAATTAATAGCGTCATCGAACAGAGCCTCTTTGAAGAAAGCCTTATCAATTTTGGGCAAGATCAGATATGGAGTGAACACCCGCTTCAGATTGAGCTGCTGAAGCTTTTGCAAATATTGATTGTCTTGGAGCACCATCTTGGACAGACACATGAGGAACAGGAGAACCAGCCAGACCTATCTAAGGAATGGCAACGGGCTCTTAATTTCCAGCAGGCTATTAGTGCAATGCAGTATGTGCATCCACACCCAATAACTTCACAAGGATTATTTGTCTCCGCTGTAGTTAGAGGTTTGCAGCCAGAGTATGGCTATGGGATGCATCCATCTTGGGTAGGTTTAGTCACGCATTCTTTGCCATACTTTGGGAAATCTTTAGGCTGGACTGTGGCACCATTTATCATACAGATATGTAAAAACCTGGATGAACTTGTTAAACAGTATGAAAATGAAACTGTGAAGATGTCTGTGAGGTAAGATTCTTAAATCAACATCAAAACTCTGCATTTAACTATTCAGTACAAAGTACTGATGAGCTTATTTTCTCAAACCTCATACTATTGTCTAAAGTATTCTAAAATTACTTTTTTGTCTGACTAGTTATTTTAGAAACTTTGCTTTCTGATACCTCAGCAGTTAGAACATTGGACCAAATACTCTTTTGACCATAGTAGTCATGTAAAGAATGAAAATACCCAGTTGTACTATTAATAACTTTTGTGTTCTTCTCCAAAGCGTAACTTCTAAAAGGGAGAACATTACACCAGATTATCCTCTGACACTTTTGGAAGGCTTAACAACCATTGGTCATTTTTGCCTTTTGGATCATCCTAATCAAGCCAAAAAGGTAGCAAACTGCTTCTTATTACTTCAGTAGATATGTCTCCAAATGCCAACCATACGTTTGACAGTTTGGCCTCAATTCAGCAAAGTACTTAAGTTCTTGGCTGAATCAGGACCATTAATGTCTATTATTATGGGCCCAGAAATGAGAGGCTGTTACTGTAGGGATAGCAGAATCCCCTTCCATGTCGGAAGAGGAACATGCTTGTGTAGAGGAGAACCCTCTGCTCGCAGATGATAAGCTAACTATTCTCTCACCCCAGCTCAGTGTGTGCTGACAATAAATATATTTGGATTATTGGACACTACTCATTTATGGGGAAAGTACAGTATTCTCCTTAAATTATTCTGAAGTAATTTGTATGTATGAAGAAAGAAATGCGAGTTTCATGCTGTCAAAAAAAGCTATACAGTAAAAGGTCATTTCTTCTAAAAGCTTCTCTAGGAAAATATGAATTTTACATTTATAAATATGTTCAGTACGTTGCTAAATGAAAGTATGAGTGAACAAAATTTGTACATCTTAAAAACCACACTGCAGACAACTCTATATGCATCCTTTTTCTCAATTTTTTTTTTTCTTGTATTGCAAAACCAGAACAAGTTTAATTTGGTCTTCCCCACCCA